CAGAATCTGCTCCCCCAGTTCTTCCCCTGCACCAGAACCTGAGCATTGAATTCTCCCACGGCCACTTGGATTAAACAGAAATTCTGATTCCAATTAACGGCGCAACTCAGCAACCCTAAGTCACTTAAAAATAAAATTATTGCTTCTGGGTTCTGTCTTTTAGAGAAAAATTCACCATTCAGAGCAGATTGGAGGGAGAAGAGTCCCTGTCATTAATACTGACCCTCTAACAGTGTGGGTCAGTGGCACAAATCCTTCCTCTCATAAAATCCCACAATGGTTTGGGTTGGAAAGGACCTTAAAGATCATCCAGCCCCACCCCTGCCATGGGCAGGGACACCTTCCACCAGCACAGGGTGCTCCAACCTGGCCTGGGACACTTCCAGGGATCCAGGGGCAGCCACAGCTTCTCTGCCCAACCTGTGTCAGGGCCTGCCCACCCTCCCAGCCAGCAATTCCTTCCCAATCCCTAAATCCTGCTCATCTCCCTGTGGCCAAACCGCCCTCCTGCTGTCCACAGCATCCTGCTGATGCCACATCCCTATCAATCCAACGTAGAAATCAGTGGTTGTTTTGAAACTCCATCAATTGCCTCTTTCTCCTCAGTTGATTGCCCCTGGATTTCCATCCTGCCTGGCGAGTGGCGCTCGCTGTTGCTCCGGGATCCGATACCACGGCCCCTGAAACATTCCAAAGGCTTGGACCAGAACCCGGACGCCTGCTTAATACTGATTTTATGACCCTGTTGAATAGCATCCTCCTCTGTTTTTAGGCACATACTTTTACGATTTTGAGTGTGTTCAAGCGAGAAGAAAAGAAAAAAAAAAAAAACCGCCCGAATTTCACCCGAACGCTCCAACAAGGCAGCCACAAAGAGGAGCTGCAAAGAAGGAGCGAAATCCTGACTTCAGAAGACCAATAAAAATAATTGGACTCAGAATCCAGACCAGTAGTTTCTGGGCTTTACGTATTTTTGTGATTCCAGCTTAAACTGATCTATTTTTTTTTCTCCCCCCTGAAAATTATATCCAGAAGGAAGAGTCCTGACGAGCAGAAACTTCGGATTGTGCTCAGTAATTTCTCTCCCTCGTGTTCTCCTTCCAGCTACACCTTCTGTGGAAAGTGAAAACTGCCACAAAACTGACTCACTGCTCCAATCCTGAGAGATAGCAGGAAATACATAGGTGGGCTTAATTCCCAGCCCTTTCCCAGATTCAGTTTTTAAAAGGTTTTGCTGAAAAACAAAGCTGCAGCTCTCGGCTCGAGATTGAGATCTCCTGCAGCGAGCCAAGGCACCTCTCCATTAGCTACTGTTATGATAACCTATTAATAATCATTTTCATCTGGAAAAAAAAAAAAAAAAGAAACAAATTTATTTGTTGGGATTTTTTGGGAATGTTACGTGCCACGAAGAATAGATAGTAACCCCGGGATTAGTGATTCCATGAGGAAAATATGTCGTGCTCACCAAGCCATGGAGCTTTCCCTCTCCAAAATAACTATTTATTTTTAATTTTGCCCGCTGAACTTCTACGGTGTCAGGTTTTTTTTTTTTGCATCAGATGTGTTTCATCACAGCCACCTAAACCGGTTCATTGTACACTAAGAAAACAGGATAAGTTGCAGCAGCAGCAGCGTTTTGAAGCTTGAAGTGTTTATGAATGGAGGGCGAAAAATAGAGATTAATTTGGGTTTAACCAGGTAATCAGGAAAGGGGGGGGGGGGGCAGGCTGAGATTGGGTGAAGCTTTAAAAACTACATTTTTCTTTCAGAAATGACTTTCCAAGCCAGACAGGCAGGTTTGCCCAGTAGCATTCTCAACCCAGGGTGAGGAATAGTCACTCTGGAGCCCAGCCAAGCCCAGTGTAAATCTGTTTTGTTCAGGAAAAGGAGCCAAATTGCTTTTATACAACATCTCCAGGTTTCGGGCGACCTGTGACAATCTCAGCTCCCGCTCTGGGGGTCAAGAAAAATCAAGGGGTTTGTATTTTTTTTTTTTTTTTTAAATTCTAAACAACACCAGGGCTGAGCAACACGGGGCATGCACGTGAAAGGATGCTGAAACTCAGCTAGGGGCTTTTAAGTTTTGGCTGGAAATATTGGTGGGGAGAAATGAATCCCCCTGCTCTGGGGGACTCGCTGTGACCCTCCCACAGCCAGGAGGGCAACAAGGATGATGTCTTAATGTCTGACACAGACTGTCTTGCAGGGTCTCATTTAAGGTGATGGAAAGGAAATTAAAAGTATTTATGAAGTGTCAAGAATGAGAATTTCCTGCTCAGGAGGGGGAGAGCGTGGGTTTGCTGGTGGCTCTGATGGGATTTTAATGGGGCTGGGGGGGGTGATACCGGTGAAGAGGGAAGTGTCACCACTCCAAGCCATTCCTCATTCTCCACCAGGGGTTTCAAATCACCTGGTGGACAGGGGGAGCCTCCACTCTGCCCACCAGCACCGTGAACTCTCAGCCACTGCCCGCACAACGCTCCTGGCCTCGCATTATCACCGGTGGCAGCTGAACTTGTTCGAGCTCAAATATTACACGGCAAACAAAGTTTGGGTTAATTTTCCTCTAGCGAGGTATCAAAGGAAGCAATGCCCTTTGAAGCAGCCACCTTCTGCTTTGGGCCTTATACAAATTCAACAGAACAGCACCTCAGAAATCCCGTACGAGTGCAAACAATCCCCACCTTTGGAAAACAATCCCCTGTTCAGGAGTAAACAAAAGCATACATTAGTCACCGCTGCTGCGGAGATGGGCGGCCAGTGCAGGTGATGAGATTTAACCTCCAAGCCTGACTAATAGCACGCAGCATTCCCAGCTCACTCCACAGCTCAAAGGATCCTGAGCCCCTGGATATCATGCCACAGGCAAGGTTTGTGTCTGGGGGCAAAGGGACCAGCTACTGGCAAACCCCTTCCAGCAGGGTGAGGGGCTCCACGACGCTCCCTGCCAAGCTCTGCTGCATGAATAGGGACTGTTTTCTCTCAGCTGCTGCATTTTGACCTTGAGACTCACACAGTTCACTGTTATGATTTCTAGCTTCATTACCATGGCCAGGAACTGAACTACAGGTTTGTTTTTATTAGCTTCTCCGCCACTCTGCCAGCTATTCATTTGAATCTTCTAAACAGTCATCTCTGAATCATAATGCAAATTCCATTTACTGAAAAGGTGGTACCTTTAATATAACAAATGAACATGTTTAATGACTGATACTTTCAGACATTACAGCATCCCTCATGTTTTCAGTAAATGGATATAATTTTCTCTGCATTACCCTATTATTATTCTTTGCTAGCATTATGAAGCTACGTTCTCAGCTGCGGGTGTTTTCCACCGAGTGCATTTGAAGACGGCCCAAACAACGCAGTTTGAAAGACATCTGCCTCTGGATCCTCAGCTGAAAATGCTGCAGGAGACAGAGGAGCTGGACTGGCGTTTTATTCTTATAAAGTATTGGCTGCTCGCACGATGTTTCGGCGGGGCCACGCTCTGCCACCGTCGTGACGGTGTTTACATTGGAAGGGCATCTCCAGCTGCATTTCACTTCAAAGGGAAAGAAGGGCTGGGGTGTATAATCAGGATCACTTCCTCAGTCTGAAGCCTGACCCGTCTCCCATCGGGAACAAAACGTGTGAGGAGTGAGCAAGCAGAAGTGGGTCACCTTCGGAACTCCCCCGAAGGGCCAGCGTGGGCAAAACCACCGATCGGACGCTCACACGGGGAGAGAGGGAAGGGAAAACGGCAAGGAGGGGTCAGCAATCCCCGAGCATTCCACCTGGTTCTGAGAAGGAAAGCTATGGAAGCGCAGTAGCCGCTGCCACTGGGATCTGAGAGCGTTTGCAGCGCCTGGAATCGCCCGGGAATGACACTGCGGTGTTCGAGACACCACAAAGGCCTGATGGTTTTATTTAGAGACAAACATAAGCAAATAGCGCATGAAGTCACATGGGAGATGCAACAGTTTTGACAATTTTTCATCCTTGACCTTAAGAGAGAGAGGCTGACCTTTCTCCTGAGCTCCTTCTGAGCAACAACGCACCGGCTCCCCTTCCGTGGGGTCTGACTGAACCTCCCCAAACTCCCCGGGCAGGCACTAACCCAGGGGAAGCACTTAAAATAAACTGATAGGACGGTAAACACGGTTGCTGGGAAGTTATGGGGTTTGAGATTATGGCTTGGGGCCAAAGAGTGAAGTTGCAGAAGGTCTTTATGTTGGGTTGTTTTTTTTTGGGGGGGGGGGATCGAGCTTTGTGCACCTGCCCACCCACGGGCGGCGCGAGCCGCACGCGTCGGGTTCTGTTTGCAGCTTCCAAACTACATTTCCACGTAGTCCCGGCCTAAGTCAACTCCAAATCCTGATTGCTATTTATGCTCCAAAGGCCTTTTTATTTACATACCAGTCATTACTGGTTATGGCAGAGATACAGCAAGTCAGGTACCAAACCCCTCCGTTCTGTCTGCTCTCTGCCATCCGCTTTGCAGCAGACATTAACTAACAGGACTGGTGCGTCCTGAGGGAAAGAAAGGCCAGAAAACGTGCCCTGTGCCTTCAGCAGATCAGAATGAACCTGCAGAATCTTCAGATCTATGCAGGAAATATTCGTACTAAGCAGGAAATATTAAGAGAGACTCACTCTGTTGCAGAAACCAGAAGGGGAGCCCCACCACGAGTCCCTCCACAAGCTGAAAAACTCTTGTTTTAACCTCAAAATACGCCACTTCAACTCAACCACCGGCAACACCACGCTGCCCTAAACCAGCAGGGGCGGCTCCCAGAGCAAAAACGTCGCTTGCTTTTCTTATTTTCCGCCTGAGATCTGCCTGTTCAGAACCTGGAGCGGCGCTCGACGACGCAAGGACGAACCACCCCGTGCTCATCCCGCGCCTCCGGGAGCGGCCCGGGCAGCAGGAAACCCTCAGAATTCCCTGCCCACCCCCCCCAGAATCCAGCAGGGCTGGGTGAGCAGAGGGTGCCAAGCCGAGGACAAGCAGGTACCTCTGCCGCTGCGGCCCACGAAGCGCAGGTCGTTGAACCGCGCCACCTGGTTCTTCATGGCGGCCGTGGCGTTCCGCAGCTCGGCTGAGTAGTTCTCGTCGTTCCCCGCCATCACCGTCACCAGAGTCCCATCAGGAACGTCCCCCAGGGCCACCACCTGTGGAAAAATCAAGGAGCAGAGAGCCCTCAGCTCCCAGGGAATTGGGGGCGCAAGGCAGGGGGTCAAATCCGCGTGGAAGGTCTGAGATGCCGGTGTAAGAAGCTGTTTTTGGGGAGATGGGAGATGTTTCCATTCTTTATTCGCTGCAATGGGAATCTTCTTCTCCCCCCAAAACCCTTCATTTTTCTTTAATCAGGCCAATTTTTTTTTTTTTTTTGCAATTTTGATTGTAATTTTAGCTCTGAGCAGACAAGTTACGTGCAGACTCACTGCCGAGTGGTGTCAATCGTGCTGGTGGCTGACATGATGCTGCACTAAAATGCTTCCCAATTCTTTTCCACTGCTCTTCCCCACATTTCCTGAATTTCCTGCAGGACCTAAGAGAGTGATATTTTTCATATACACCATTGCACCTGTGACATCACCACAATAGGTGTTATTTAAGGTGCATCCTTTTTTTACTCCTCATTTGTGGATTTCCCACGGTTTCAAACCTTGCTTTTCCTAACAATTGGCCTGGAAAGTTTTGCACTGATGTGCCTCTGAAATACCCAGCTCCTCCTGTGCTCTGAGATGAAAAATAAGTGAAATCAGCTTTCCAAAATATACATCTGTAATTGTCAGTGCATAAATTCAATGAGCAGGACCTGCTGCTGGTCTCCTTCACAGCAGTAGCTCCTAACAGAGCTGTCCCAGCATAAATTCAGGGTAAATCCGTGGAAAATCAGGCCTCAATCAAATGTTTAATCCCAAATTAGTAAACAACTTCCCTTTATTTCCTTTAAAAAGACAAATAATTGACTTCAGGCCCCACCTGAGGGATGGAAATCGTGGATCTCAACTAATGAAATCTGCCCTGGCTCAGCCAAAGGCTTTCACCTGGCCTCAAATGCTTGTGCTGGAGCTCCTGGGTGCCCAGCGTCAAACAAACGTTTAGGAGCAGAAGATTCACTGCATTTCTGATGCAACAACCTGAGAGACCTAAAGATTTCTAATCTGAAATGTTCTGACTTGTGTCTGCACTGTTCACACTGACCAAACGATGAAAAACTTAATTTTTGCTGCAATTTCTTGAGCAGGATGGAATTCTCCAGACAGTTTCACCCCGCTGCAAGCAGATGGATATTTGGGGTGTCACTCCATTTACTCTGGCAAAAATAAGAGCTTGGATTCGGTCCCCTATAGATTGTTTTTTCATCCCATTGCTGTTCCGCCAGTTAAGTCTACATGACTCTTACCACAAAAAAAAAAAAAAAAAAAAAAAAGATTAAAAAAAAAAATCCAGCTCATTTTTAATTCCTCTTTTGCACATTCTAAGAGGAAGCAGCCCTTCATCGTGCCCTCTGAGTTGCAGCTCGATATTTTTCCTTCCTGTTAGAATTTTCTAGCTCCTATCCAGGCAGTTAAAGTTTGTCACGGCCTGGTTTTGTTCCTCCTGGTTTTTAATCTCACTTGTCCTTTCCAAAGGGGATCAGCAGCTCCTTCGCTCGATCGATCCCTGATTTTTTATTCCTCAGCCACAGCCAACTCCCAGGATTTGGGAGAAGCCTCCAGTCTCAGGTATTTCCCAGCCTTTCCTTCCACAGGGGGGGCTGAGCTCCTCACTCCTGTGCTCTCCCTTTTGTCACCAGCAACCCTTATTTTCACTTCCACATGCAAACCTCAAATCACTGGGTCAGAATTCCCTCTTTACTGTCTCCATTTCAACTTCCTCCTCCCCGTTCCTCCCCTGCCCAGCCTGCTGTGTGGTTTTTTTTTGTCCTCCTCTGGGTTCCAGAACGTGTTCCTGGGGCCTGCTCGGTTCTAGGCTTTCCAAATTTCCCCCTCATCTCGGCATCAATTAGTCCCTCCTCGAAATGCTTAAGCTCAGAGTCTTCTCCTTGCTTGTATTCCAGGCACCAGAAAGGCAAAGGGGAAAATCGGGGCATCACCCTGCGATGCAAATGTTTGCCCGTTCATTTAAGGAAAAGTATTCCGGGATTTTAAAGGCTTCACAAAAGATTTTTTTGGCAAATCCAGGGGCAGTCGGCTCTTGCGGAGCAGATATTTTAAAGCCCCGTTTCCAAATTGCAAGCTCGAAGGAAAAAAAAAAATCAGGAACGGGTATAAAGCTGACACAGCCCCGAAAAGAAAGTGGAGTTAAAAGTCACAGACAATAGAAACAGAAATACAAACATTTACATTAGAAAACAGACTAAACAGATAAGCTGGGACTTGCTGACTGGAGTTATCAAGGACTTTGTTGCACTCTTTACCTCTTAAAAATATGCATTTCCAGAGAAGCAAGGAGAGAGTATCAGCGTTGCAGGTCTGTCGGGTATCTAAATTACCCACTTCTCCCGCATCAGTCAAACCAAATTGGCCTTTTAAAGTAAGATTTAGATTCTTTCTTAATAGCACTTGGACGGTGAATTTCTATAGCACCTTGTTAGTTATTATACAGTAATTTTTGAGTTTCTCAGGATCGTTCTTTAATTTAGGGAAAAAAAAAAAACCTGGATATTTTAATTTTGGCTCGAAACAGTCTCCTGATCAAACGCCACAAATGAATTTTTCTAAGGAAACACGAAGAGAAAACTCTCCATCTCTCTCTTTTTGTTCATGCAATGGTTGTTAACAAATACTTGGTAAAACTCGGGGCTTTTTTGTCAGACGCAAAGGAACGATCCGACCCGAATTTTCTAGTTCCTGGCCCAAATCATCTTAAAAAAAAAAAAAAAAAAACCAAACAAAAACCCACGACTTTTAAAACGGCCTTTGCGAATATTCCGTATTTAGTGTGAACCCAACAAGCTTGGTTTTCACGTGGCAAATTATTCCAGGATTCATTTCTCAGCAATCCGCGGAGAGAGAATTTGGGAGGGGGGGTGAAGATGAGGAGCGCCCTGGCGAGCAGGTGCCTCCCAGCCCACCATTCCAGGGGTTCATCATGAAACCTTTTCCCGTGTTTTTTTTTTTTTTGAGGAGGGGGTGTTTTGATTAATTATTTTTCTCTTGGGTGTTTCTAGGTCGAATTCTCAAACAAACTCCTGGAGGAGCTGCTGGTGAACACGGTGGGGGGGGGCTGCGGCGGCTGCGGGAGCGGAGTTGGGCATCTCTCGAACCCTCCTGGCTTTGCTTCCCGCAGTTTCCACAGAACCAGGACGGTCCCTGCCGCCAAAGCTCCCATTCCAGAGGAGAATCCCAAAATCGCTGCCGGCTCGGCACCGGGACGGCCGGGCAGGAGCGGGAGGATCCACCTCTCCTGTCCTTTCTCCATCCCTTTCCCCCGCCGGGAGATGCTTCGGGGGGTGGGACAGCGACACGCGCGGCCCCGCCACGGCGGTCTCTGGCCACAGGGATCCCCCAGGAAAAAAAAAAACAAGGAACACCGGGGACTCCGCTTATCTCCCTTCCCGGCGGGGCGGAGCGGCTTTTCACTGCCTTCCAGGAGCTGAACTTCCCGAGTAATTAGCAGGAGCTGCCGAGTGCGTGGGGTAACAGTGTAATAATTAATCTAAATGTGGGAATTTAGGAAGTGACCCTGCCGATTAGTTCCTCCCATTTCCCCAGACTCCTATCTGCGTAAAACAAGAAGACTAGACATAATAAAACTTTGCCCTGAAGCCGCCTCCTCAGCGCGATTTCCCGAAGCTCCCGGGAGCTGAGCTGATCCGCTTCTCCCTCGTCTCTCTCCTCTCCCAAAAAGCCATCGGGAAAGATTCGAGCCCGGTGGCCTTCAAAACAAAGTTGCGCCGAGGCGGTCGGGGTTTAGGAGTGACCGCAAAAGAAAGCACGAACCTGACAAATCCCGATCCTAAATCTAACCCCGGGGCTCCTCGGGAGCTTGCATGTCTGTGCGGCTCCCGTCTCGGATAAAAGGATAACGAGAATAATTACCTTTTCCTTTCCTTGCTCGGAAGCGTTTCTGCATCGGGAGCAAGAAAAGCAGCGCGCTCGAGAAGTCAGCGAGACAGACCCGAGTCAAAAAAAAGAGCGTGACCAAGGGGAGGATAATTTTACTCCGAGGGGAGGATAATTTTACTCGGAGCCCGGTAACGGGAAGGCTGGAAAGAGCAACAAGCACCCGGGGGGCACCGCTCGGCACATTCCCGGCGGCTCGTGACAGGAGGGAGACGGGATACCCTCTCCCCTTCCCTCCTCCCCATTTTTTTCCCCTTGGATTTAGCAAGGAACTCTGGAAACTGGAGAACTCCGAGCGGCCGCAGGGTCTGCCCAGGTTAGGCCTCGATTTTTTGCTGTTATTAAAAACAGCCAATAAAAAGGGAAAAAAAAAAAAAAAGAGAGAAATATGTGTTTTGGACTGTTGGTGGGTTGTTTTGATGGGGTTTTTTCCGCCCCCCGAAGAGCCCCTGGCAGGGGATACGCGGCCCGCGGAGGAGGGCGGGTGTCCCCCGTGGGTGGCAGAGGGACCCGCCACCGCCGTGGGCGACTTCTGGGCGAGCCCGGGGCTCCTTCAGCTCCGGGGGCTCCTTCAGCTCCGAGCCGCCTGCATCCATCTGCAGACGGCTGCGGCATCTGGTCCCCAGGGCAGCCAAACTCCTCGGCTCTGGCTCCTTTTTTTTTTTTTTTTCGCTTATTCTTTTTTTTTTTTTTTTCCCTCCCTTGAGCAGAGCCGCCTCTCGCTACCGGAGTTATGAATGGGGAGAGCAGGGAGGCAGCGGCCGGAGCGAAACCTTCCCAGCGCATCGCATTCCTCAGCTTGCCAGCGCTCGCTCCTCTCGAGAGAGGGAGGATGGAGAGAAGGACGGAAGGATGGATGGGTGGGTGGAAGGAAAGCTGGAAGGAAGGGTGGAATGAAAGCTAGAAGAAAGGGTGGAAGGAGGCGCAGCGGGACCACCGGGGCGAGCCGTCCCTGCCCGGGCGCGGCTCCGAGCGCCCCGTGCCCTCCATCCTCGGGGGGCTCACGCTTGCCCCCCATCCCTCCATCCCTTCCCCTGCCCATCCCTGCCCCCCCCGACGCGCGTTCCTCGGACATCCATACCTTGAAGGCGATGGGCAGCGTCTTGTTGCAGCGCCAGTGGGTGGGCAGCACGGAGCAGAGGAAGTTGGGGCTGTCGGTGCGCACCAGCTCCCCGGGGTGGTCGGCCAGGACCTCCACCATGCTGCGGTCGGCGCTGCGCAGCTTCCCCGGCAAAGCCCCGCCGTGCTCGGCGCCGGGCAGCGCCAGCGGCTCGCTGCTCATCTTCCCCGGGCTCAGCGTGGTGGAGGGCGGCGTGAAGCGGCGGCTGGTGCTGGTATCTACGGGGATACGCATCACAACAAGCCTTTTGAGTGAGGGACCTCCGCGGAGTTTTTACAGAACGGCGAGGCGAGCGTAACTCTTCAGCGAGCCGCTCTCTGGGGACCAACATAAACGGATACGGGCTGAGGACCCCGCGGGAAACTTGTTTCTACGCCAGTCCCCGAAGTTAATTTTTTGCTGAGATGATAGAGAGCGCGCCCGGGCTTTAACTCTTGGCTTCCTGGCGCGGCGGAACAAACACGTTAATCCGATAAACCCAAGGGGCGTCCGTGCGCGGCTTTACCGCGCATCGAGTCCGCGGCCGCGCCACGAGAAGTTCCCGGGGAGAAAGCTCATTCCAAACTCCCAAGTTAAAAAAAAAAAAAAAAAAAAAAAAAAAAAAAAAAAAAAAAAAAAAAAAAAAAAAAAAAAAAAAAAAAAAAAAAAAAGGGAGGCGACCAAGTAACAAGAAACACGCGCAAAGCCCGGGCTTCCCTGTCAGCCGCCTATCAGTTTCTTCCAGGTGATTTCTCTACAGTCCCAAGAGAAAATAAACCACACCGGCGTCTTCCGCGGGCAAAAAAAAATGGCTCTTTTGGAGAGGGAAAATCGGGGTTGTCTTCAGAGAAGGCGGTACGAGAGCGAGACTTTGTGATCAAAGGTCAGCTGGCTACAACTGTGTATATGTATATATTCACGTCCACACACGCACCACACACACATATACCGGACTTCATAAAATATTTACAGTATAATCTGTAGAGAATTTAAACACAACAGGAATCCATTAATGTTCTCTGCGAGTTTTTTTTTTTTTTTTTTTTTTTTTTTTTTTTTTTTTTTTTTTTTTTTTTTTTTTTTTTT